GCCCGCGGGCGGTAGGAGGGGGGGGATGGGGGAAGGCAATTAAAACGGCCGCCGTAAATCAAAGCGAAGGGTCTACATTCGGAATTAAAGCAGCTACCTTCTTGCCTTCATTACAAGTTGAGAAATGCACACGCAAGTAGAGAGGGAACCGTACCTGTTTGAGAACCTTTTTGTGGCTCAAAAGACGTTGGCCAAGGTAATAAACACGCTTAATGAGTTGAAAAGCTCAGGGATAATAATTAACAGTGTGACCATATGAGTAAAGTTTGCATAACTGGGTAGCTAAAATAAAATGGAAAACTTTCCAGTAAAGATTGTGCGTGTATAATGCTAAATGTATTTAGCGTATAGAAATTTGTCTTTCGTAGCAGCACAGCTCTCATTATGCTATGTAATTTCTAACAAATTGTAAGTAGTTTATCAAATATGTATTATTTGATGTTCGTTTGGTAACGTATTTGTTTGCAGTTCAAATTGTTTTGCCGTAATTTACATAGCAAAGTAACTGACGCTTATTTTTCCTGAGCGAGCTACAGACGTATGAAATGTCTAGTTGTGGATATCCAGTAGGCTTTATAGCCACAGAGAGGCAGGATCTTGGGTTTCGGTCTCCTGCAAATGCACGTTATTGAGAAAAGTTTTTAAAGGAGAATGTCTTGAGTGTTTTTTCAGCTTAAAACACTGTGCTGTAGACATATATTCCTAGCCATCAAAACTCATTCTGCTATTCCTTTTTTCCTCAGTAGAAAAGGGAAAGGGAAGAGTTCACTAAGCTTCATGGTCAATTTAGGATAATAAAATGCCTTTCAGAACCTGGTCAAGTGGTAAAAGAACCAGTTTACAGCTTAGTTTCAGATATGTAATGTAATTGAAATAAAAAAACAACCTTGCAAATTTACTTTACTTAAAAGCAGAGCTTGAGCTGAAGAGATGAAATTATTTCTATCAGTAAACTGCATCAGAGGAATGTTAAGGTTGTAAGGACAAAACAATAAAAGTCAGGAAATTCGCCTTTCCGAGTGGATATAATACCTAACATACCTCCTAGCATTCAGAGGTAATAGGCTATCAGGTGTAGGAGCAAACGTCTTGTAGTGCTTGTGTAGCAGTAGGTGGCACACTGGCACGTTTCACATCTACATTTATTGTGTGGATACCAATATTGTCCTTTGTGCTTTTCACCATGAACAGGAAACTGACACAATGAATATATACATAATTGCTGTTTAAGTTGGTATATATAATTTATATTTTTGTCTAAAAAATAAATGCAGAACCAGTGATTTAAGACTAAAAACTAATAATGAGACAAGAAAAACAAAGAGGGAAAAAAAAAAAAAAGAGACAGTTTTACAAGATTTCTGTTTGGTTTTTGCCTCCTGTGTTTTCTCCCAGAAAAAAAGGTATGCGTATGTGAGGGATTTCTTTATTTCCTCTCAAATAGTGTCTAAGGCAAGAGTGTACCTACTTTAATTGAAGGATAAAATAAAAAGGAAGGAGGATACCATCTTAACTGAAGAAGTGCTAGTAGCACACACAAAAAAACCAGAAATTCAGATCACAGCAGAAGTCATTTCCTCCTTCCCTATTATGGAGTTAGAAATTCTCTCATTATACCAATTCTTTCTTCACTTATGTGTCTACTATAATGTGAATTCCTCCTTTCTTTGTAAAACTAAAAATTAGTTTTCACTCGCCTATTTAGGTATACAATTAAACATAATATGGAAGATACTGAACCAGCTGATGTTTAACCTAAGAATCTTGTTTTCCGAATTTCTCCATGTATTTGAGCACTGTAGTAGTGCATATTTACAATTACATAATAAATTGTTTTTATTGTTTGCACATATGCCATTGTACAAGATGGCAGTAACAATTTATATGACATAGGTAAAAATATAGATTTAAATCATGTTCCTCACTTTATCTAGTTCATACTTACATGAGAGCATCTTCATGGACCATCCTTTAGGACTTCAGAGCAATATAATTCATTCTGCTAATAATTGTACAACTACTACTGATGGAAACAGTCTCTACTTAATATCCGAATATAAAAAGGAGATTCTGTTCTCTTCATGTGCAGCAGCAGTTATGTATATGCTGCATTGGGATTCTATTTCAAAGGAGCTTAAAATACATTTCAGATCCTCACAGTGTCCCACTAGCCTTGTTTAAGGCTTTGGCATCCAAAGGAGCAATGTCTAACAATGTCCTGAAGGTGAAATAAAATTTCCGGTGTCCAGGCAGAAGGGGCTCTACAGAAAGGGCCCTAGCAATTGTGCTATGCGTGAAACTCTAGCTCACTCACCTGGCAGTCTCCACAGCGGCAGAATTGCACGAGGGAGTAAGAGCAGCTATCTGGGTACTAAATCTTTCAGGAGCTCCATATGTCAGCAGCAAAATTTTCCCTCCTGTGTACAATCAGCACAGGTTCAGAAATGCTACTGTCCCCAGGAAAGTTCGCTTCTTCACAGAAGCAGTACTGAATTTAACTAACTTTCTGGATAAATATTCATTGTAGAGCAGTACATTTGTGGAAAGGCAATGGAAAGGAAATAAGCACAGCTTCATCAATTTTTTAGCAGATCTAGATTAGCTGCTACTTCACCTTTAATAGCAGTTGGGAGTTCAACCATACTCTTAAAAGCATTTGCTGCGTCAATGGTGCAGGCCTAAAGAGATAAAAATATCTCATCATATTGTTTCTCCCAATCATTTAATATCGCTGGTGTAATTTTTGAAGTGGTGAATTGAAGTCATTAGACCTGTGTCCTGATCTCAGCCAAAAAATGAGATCTGATATCATGCTGTTTTCTCTCAATAGAAGATTGCATATTACTCAATCCTTGCCTCTTGCTGCCATTTAAAAAAAAACCCACAAAACAAACAAACAAACAAACAAAACCCAAACAAACAAACATAACATTTGGATTCCAGGTTGACATCGGTTCTCTTGTGACATCGTGTGATGAAAGACTTGCCCTTGCACTGGAGTGAAGAAAGCCTTGCTTGATGAATGATTCCTGAACAAGAGAATTGCAAATTCATTTAACTGAATGCTCTTACTTTGTTGTTTATGTGAACAGTTCTTGGCTACGGAGCTTCCCTTATTTGTTCCGCATTAATAATGCTTTTAGTTTTATTAGCACTGATGTCACTGGTTGAACTGTAAATGAATTACCATAAACCTATCAGATAAGTTCAGTAGCTGGAGCTGCTCTTGGAACAAGAAGTATCTTTTCAGTGCCTAGGACTGTCATACATGATGCAGATGTTGAGAGTAGTGGCAAATTCTAAATTTCTTTATCCCGCAGAAAAGAATGTGTCATCCTTCCTTCTACTTACCCTTTGGTGTTGAATTTTGAACGTTTATACATATTTACTTCCCTGCAGGTTTGGTGCCTTGGCAACGAAAGTCGATACCATATCAACAGGACGGTAGATGGTTCGACCTTTTCTGTAGTCATCCCCTCCCTAGTTCCTGGTATTCGATATAGCGTAGAAGTGGCAGCAAGTACTGGGGCAGGACCTGGAGTGAAAAGTGATCCCCAGTTTATCCAATTAGGTAAGCCTGCTGGTAATCCTACCTGTTGGTTTCAGTGATTTTTGTTTGTTTGCTTTCGTCTTTTATGGCTCCAGAAATTCTTTCAAGACAAGTGAAATAGATAGCGTTACTTGATCTCTGGAATAGCAGGATTTGACATCTCTGGTTTTAAACTTGCCTTAGAACTGCATTCTAAAAATTGGATTACAACAGCACAGGTTGTTTTAAATCTCACAGTTCAGCAATACGTTTTGGTTATTGATTTTTCAAAGTGAATTTTCACACTTAAGACTGGTGTAATAAAACATGCAGGGGAGTAGGAACCACTAAGTGTTGGCTCACTTTGGTTTAGGGATGTAATTTGTCTTGATCAGATTTTATGTTTCTTTACTGAAGCAAAAAAACAAGTGCATGCTAAAATTAGTTACAATAAATACAACTATATGTGAAAACCAGTAAATAACCTGAGTACAGGAAAAAGAGGTACACAGATTTTCAATAATCTTGACCTCCTAACTTCATTTGCACCAAACATCTCTCTGACATAAATGCAGATCAGGGACGTTGCTCCTGGATATATCCGAGAGAACTGCATCCTTGCTGCTGGTTATCTGAAGGTTATTTAAAGTAGTTTTAGGTACAGTCATATGCTGCTTTACCCGTAGGCCTGTATCAAAATGCTTTATCATTACAGTATGGAATTGTGGAAGCAAACTCAGCATGTTGCTTTGGACTTTATGTCCCATCTATCTCTGTATCATTAGTAGATCTTCCTTGTTATTTCACTTTTTTATATTTAAAAATCTATAATTACTTCATGTGAAAACAAGAGCAAGCAGCTAATATATTCTCTGGAAAATTACATGTACATTTCCTCAGCTATTAAAATGAAGGTCATCTTTAACTTATCTAACTTATACAGGCATATGATTCCCAATTACATTAATAAGAGATTTTACGACAAAATTAGATACAGCTTATGTGATATTCCATTAATATGTGCAAAACCCCATAGCTATTTGTTGAGTTGTTCTTTCCTACAGCCAGCTTCCATTCACAGCTTCCTACAGCCAGCTTTCCAGGCAAAGTCACGTTTGTCCTATGTGGCTTAGTTTTTGAAAATTTTAAATTAGTGAGACTTATGAGTGTAAAATAATGGGGTAACCTCAGTGTTTAAAGACCATAAGCTACTTTTTTTTTTTCCTCTTTTCTCTGATGATAAGCAGATGTTAAATGAAGATAACTTTTATAATAGCACTTAATCACTTTGGGGTTTTGGTAAGTGGATAAAGAAACAAATGAGACTGTTAAGGTAAGATATTTGCCTGCTTCTGAGTTCCTGGCCTTTAGTGACACTATGTTAGAAAGGAAGAAGCAGTCACACAGCTCAGAGGGTGTTCAAATGTGCAAGTCTGGTAGAATCCATTTATTTCCTTGTGGTGAGGGTTTGCTTTCATAATCTATACTCCTTGCTTCCAGTGTGGCATTTTGTCATGGTTTATGCCCAGCTGGTAACTAAGCATCACACACCCGCTCGGTCATTTCCCCCAGCAGGATGAGGGAGAGAACCAGAAGAGTAAAAGTGAGAAAATTCGTGGGTGGAGTAAAGACGGTTTAATAATACATGTGCAATAATATTAATAATAATATGTAAGGAAGACACCAAAAAGAGAAGTAAAGCCCAAGAAAGAAAAGTGAGGCAAATGAAAACAAAAACTGCTCACCACCACCAACCAGTTGGTCCCTGAGCAGGAGCCCTCCTGCCCAGCTTTCCTTCTAGTTAATATGCTGAGCATGACATCGTATGGTCTGGGATGTCCCTTTGGTCAGTTGGGGTCAGCTGTCCCAGCTGTGTCCCCTCCCAGCTTCTTGTGCCCCCCCAGCCTCCTCACTGACAAGGCAGGATGAGAAGCTGAAAAGGCCTTGACTCTGTGTAAGCACTGCTCAGCAATCACTAAATCATACCTGTATTATCAACACCGTTTTCAGCACAGACCCAGAACATAGCCCCATACCAGCTTCTGTGAAGAAAATTAACTTCATTCCAGCGAATACCAGCACACATGGCCAAAGCTACATAGCCTGTAGTAAAAATCCCATAATTTGGACGTTACTTGGCATGGACCGGAGTCTTGTGGAGATCCGTGTCGCTAGCAGCACAAAGAAATCCCTCGACAGTGCTGCAGTCCGTTCAGCAACAGTAGGAGGCTGCTGAGAATTAGTACTTAAATTTAAGAGTACGCTTTAGTAGCTCAGAATGACCGAAAATGATGAAGGCAGAAGAATGGCTGCAGTTTACCTGACTCTACCCTGTGATAAAAGTTCTCCTCCAGCACCCGCAAGGAACCACATTCTTAGTTCTTGGATGTGCTCCCAGCATGGAGGTGGAGCAGACACTGGAGTTTTCTGGTAGCTCTTCTGAAGAAAGAAAATTAATTTGTTGATTTCATCAATTGGCACTTTTCACGAGCAATAAATTACATGGTTACAGAGAGAGGGAAGGGAGGCCTGGGAGGGGGAGGAAGGAGGACTAAGGATGCTACTTTTAGAAGGTTTGGAAGAGTCCTGACTCGCTGTACCTGTGGGCAGTCTGTGTGCTGTGCAGGGTGCTCAGGGGTTTGTGACTGTGAGAAATGCCTGGGCAGAGTTTTAGTAGCGGGGTGGTTGTCAGGCAGAAGCTTCACCCTTTGGAGGCCCCCTTCCAGAACAAGAGGGGAGGACAGGAGAAAGTGGATTCTCTGAGAGCTGAAGCGTGCAGTCTCAGGCCCATGCATCAGCCAAGCTGTGATAACTGACCTTGTGCAAGCACTTAACCTGTTACAAAGACAGGTACAAATTGTAAGCTCAAAACTCCCTCGTTTTCCGTGTCTCAGCTGACATGAAGCAGCTCACGGAGCTGCGGTATCCCAGACTTCCTGTGCCACTGGGGACAAGACAACAATATACTTGCTTGTTATTCCAAAATCACCTTTCAGTGTTCAAAATCATGAGATCAACTGAAAAATCGTGTTTCTTCTTAAAACACTCCCCTTTGGGCTTCTGAATTTTCCTCTTGGCTTTTGAGTGACCTTTAACAGCTTTCTGTGGAATTCCAAGGGCTGGAAAACCATTTGTTTGTTTTAAAAGAAAAGTTGATATTTTACGTAAATGAAGACTGTAAGAACTTCGGTGTCAAGGAAAAAAAAAATCCTATTTCGTGAGAGCTAGCCAGAGCTCCCTGTATTGTGCTTTTACTCCTGTGCTGTGGAGAAAAAATATCACAGATTTTTGATAGAACTTTTTTTCTTGTCACTACATGTAACTTCAAGACGTTGGTTACAAAAATACTCCGTACGGAAACGTGAGAATTACCACCACAAATTGTGATTTTCTGATCTCTAGCCTAGCTGTTGTGCAGTGATGGCATGCTACTCATGATAGCTCAGCAGTAGTACCTATGCTTGTTGGCAAATAAATGGTGAAATTGGAACGTACTGCAACATATTTTGTTCAGGGTACCAGCTCTGAGAAGGCCCACAACTGCTGTTAATGTTACTCTTAAACACATAATTTGTATGAAAATATGGTATGCAGTTATTATTAAGAGATACCTGCACAGCTGTTATAAACATTGAGTGCATTATTCAACCAGTGGATGTCTCAAGTGTACAAAACACAAGAAAGTCTCATTGAATCTTCATTAATCTAATTGCTTCATTTAGGAGATATGATTTGTGAACTACCTAGCATGCCTTTAGGGATATTATTCTGTCAAGTACTTCTAAGAGTGGTAGTTATAAAGGGGGCTTTTTTGTTGATATTTTTGTCTTGTGGCCTGCAAACGACTTGAAAAAAGTGGTCTTTTTGGTTTTCCCTCAGAGCAAGCCCTTCCAAACCAGTTCAGTGCTGTCTCCTCACAAACTGTATGCTCTCAAGATTGAAGTTAAAAGATGTTATTTTTCCAGTTTTGGGAATGTATACAACTAGAAAGGAGATAAAACAGCATATTCTTAACCTGGTAATATTTTACCCCCCCAAAAAAATCGTATTGCATCATGTACATATATTTGAGGAAATACTCTGGTATTATGTTACAGGTTCCAGATGGATTGCAAGTTTTGAATTGCCAGAATTAGCAATGTCAACAAGACTTAGATCTTTGTACTTACTGTTTGTACATTTTGTGTACTAAATGAGTCAGGCATATGGAAAAGTACCATTCCATAAGTTATGTATGTGTATAGGACAAAGTTAAGCTTGCTTGCACACCTGTGAACCTGGAATTTCCTGTGATTTTTTGACTCTTTGGCATTCCATTCTTGATTGTTTATTAATCTTTTATTTAACAGCTTAAATGTTAGGGTTTACATTGTTATTATTTATATGAATATTTAACATTAGAGAATTAGAGGTCCCAGTTCTTCTCGATGTAAATTCTAATTAGATTTTATTGAAGTTTGAAACTTGGAGGTTCAAGATGGTCAGATTGGGTAGCTTGTGAGCAATAGCCATAGCAACATTATCTGTGATTAAAAAGGCGGCTCTTATCTTGGGGTAGCGAAGAAAGGATGAGTCACTGTGATAATATGCTGGTTTCAGGGAGTTGTGGGATCGGCCTGCTCCAACAACTCTGAGGCATTTTCAAGTGCGTTAAATGCTGCGGCTGCTGCTCTGGCAGCAAGATGCACTTTGCCGTAGAACGTTTATGTTCACTTATTATTTTGGCACGTTTCCCTGAGGAGTGCAAGCAGGAACAGGAATGTTGATTATGAACCGTTTATATCTCAGTCAAAGCTTCCAGAAATTTCCTGGGACAAAGAAAGAATACTTTTTCTAGTTCGAGAGCTTTTTCCCTGACTGATGGTTTAGGATCTCACAGGACTGTTTCAGAGAGGGAAGAAGCCCTTTGCAAAGAAAGGCATCCAAGATACTGTTCATGGAAATTTTTAGTATTGAGGGAGTCACTAGATTTCATTCCCTTTGCTTTATAATTAGCCTACTTTCTATTTTTCAGTTATAAGAGGACCAGGACATGGGTCAAATGTGGCCTCTTGAAAGCCCTTCCATCTTCTTTTCTGTGATGCTGTTTATATGACTGTACATGAACACATAGACGTTTTTTCTTCAGTCTGTGTGTAAATATATACCAGCTAATTTAATGTATTGGGCACTAATAATCCACCCATGTACAACATGCCATAAGCCAAGTTTCTTAAAAGCAAATATATTTCTATGCTGCTCTTACACTTGCAGTGGCTAGCAAAATAATACCATGAAATGAATCGTAGTTAAAAATTAGAACAATAAATGTTCAAAGAGATTCTTCAGAATTTTCTAATGTTCAGACATGCATTGGCTGAGCAATGCAAAATATGTATAGAAAAGTACTGTCCTTCTGCATGGCTGAATCGTCACCATATTTTAAAAACATTCTTACTTGGCTTTTGAGGTTGTGATTGGGTTTTTTCCCCTGGATTTACTGTTTTAAATATATATACTTAAAGGACTAGAGAAAAAATACTTAAGTGTCTTCGACATTTATGCAGGACCATAGGTTTCCCTGAAATCTTTTGTTCTATTCCATTAAGATGTTGAAGGTAGTGTAGCTGTGTAAAAATATAGTAATAGTAGGCTTACTCATTTTGAAAAGAGACTGATGTTGCAAGTTTTCATATCTTAATATGGCCTCAGCTGCAAAGAGACAAAAGATGAGATAGCGAGTGACAGATTTAATTCATTGGTCACAGTATACTTTATACGTTTAAAGCCCATCTGGCCACTTGTGGGGAACTTCACTTGGCTCTCTCCATAAAATCTGAAGCGACCCATCTTAACCTTGCACAAATAAGCATGAAATCTATAAACCCACCAGACACAAAGGGTGTATTAGTAAGAAATGAATGAGTCTGCCTGGTGAACTTTCAGACTAGGCAATGCACTTAGGATCACAGAAGATAAAGGGACCTGAAACCTGAAAGAAAATTTCCAATAACATAGCAGTCAAAGACACTGGTGATTCCTCGGCAAAATAGGCATTTGACCTCAGTGTCGCAAAAACTGAAATCTAGAATTCTTCACTGGAGGAAGCCGTTTTTAACTTAAACATTTCCCATTCTGAAAGGTATACTTTTCCAGGGGAGGTTTGTTTTTTGTGTGACTTGTGATTCCATCTCCTGTTTGTATCGCAGTTTCTTGTATTTTGTTTAGGCTTATTTTGGAGTAAGGCAAGACATGACATCATTAAAAAAAAAAAAATCTGTTCACTCCTTACTCCGTAGGGCAGACAAGGTTTTTGAACTAAATAGGTTTTCATTTATCTGGTTTAATTATATTAATAGAATTAATAACAGCATCTTTCTCCTTAAAACTCTAATCTCTCATTCTGAATCTGATGTCATTGCCCATAGTAAAAAGCAGCTAACTGTTGGCTTTACACAAGAGGAAAAATGGGTATTTCAAAGACTAAGCTGTGGAATGTGTAAAGCAATATCCGCTCTGAATAAAGGTTTCAAATTCTTTCCCTCACCCTTTGCAGTAATGAAGTTTCCAGGAAGCGCTCACTTGTACTGGTAAAGAGTCAGGCAAGCAGTATTTTGTCTTTGAGTTGCTTCATTCCAGTTAGAAAGCATTGGTCACTGACTGAATATTCTTACTGCTGTTCCTAAAAGGTTCTTGGTAAAATTAAGTATGGAGGGAGCAGAAAAGGCTGACTGTTACAGGTGCTTTCTTTATTTAAAAAAAACCAAAGGTGTGTGAAAAAATATATGTTCTTTATTTATATGTGGAATATTTAAGAATAAACTAGTTTTGAAGAAGGCTGCTCGTTCGATAATCATGAGACTGCTTGACTATCGTTACGAATTCATAACTCCTTCAGTTATCCTTTAGCTTCTTCATGCACATGGGGAAGGCAGGATTGGTTATTTTATACTTTTACTTCTTTATGTGCTTTTAAATATTCAGTCTTTTCAAACGGAGGTCAAAGTGAGACACTGCAAGGGGTACATTAGGCTGTGTAATACAAGATTTAACTCATCTGTCAGAAACTGCTAAATTAAAATGTATCCCTCAATATCAACCTCATGTGAATGTACTTTTTGAATTTGTAATTCTTCTGTGATTTCCAGTTATGAGAGTGGATGTTTGGGTAGCTGACTTCTACTCAGACACAGAGATCAAAGAACAGACTATGCATGTTTCATACTTGAGCTTTTACTTGCTGTGTTCTTCGCTGGCCTCCATTGAATACATTTCTGATGCAGGTGTTGCTTTGCTAAAATAAAAATTAGAAAATAGGAGTCCCCAAGTTTGAAATTTATGAGCCTAACTTTCTATCTGTATGCCTAGTAGTCTGATTTTAGGAGTGTTCATAAACAAACAAAAGTCATCCAAGTTGGTGGTCCTGTCTTGTATGGAAAACAAACCATTTCTATCTAGACCTGTAAAAGGAGATTTTGAAGAGCAGTCTTAAGGATTTTTAGCTTGAAAAAGTGGACCACTGTTATATCAGTTCTTTTCATGCTGCCTTTTACAGTTCCTCATTCAAATTAATTGGCTATTTTGGGTGTCTCTTTTTCAGATTCCCATGGAAACCCTGTGTCTTCAGAAGATCAAGTCAGTTTAGCCCAGCAGATTTCTGATGTAGTAAAGCAGCCTGCCTTTATTGCTGGAATTGGTGCAGCCTGTTGGATTATCCTTATGGTCTTCAGCATCTGGTTATATCGCCACAGGAAGAAGCGAAATGGACTCACTAGTACTTACGCTGGTATTAGAAAAGGTGCCGTATTCCGTATCCCGGTCCGCTGGCTGCTGAATGCCTGCTTACTGGCTATTTATCATCCATCTCTTGTTCTTGTGAGACTCGATGCAGGAATTACCAACTTACTTCACAATACTTTCAGGAAGTGTGGGTCAGGGGCCAAGGCAGAAAGCGACAGTATTTGCATAACGTGTTAAAACCTGGCTTTAAAGCGTAAGCCTTTAGCAAAACACCTACCCTTGCTTTTCATAAATGAGAAGTGTAAAGATGGATTTAAGGTTGGGAGCTTCCAGTATGCCCATGCTACCTGACACTGTACCATCTGGAAAGGAGCCAAGTGGATGGTAGTTCATTGTCCCTCCTGTTCGCTCCTTTGCTTGCTGCTAAGAGTACTAACAGTGGTGTACAGTGCAGTAACGCTTTTGGTGCGTGTACTTGAATTTCCTTGTGTTCCGGAGGAATGTGGTGAAGTGGCTGTTTGCAAAAGCACAACAGTCAGTGACTGCTTTCCAAGGCTCTTTCATAAACACTGTTGGGAGACCCTTCATTGGGAGTGAATTCTGGGGCTATCACGTCTTGCATCTGCATTTAGTTAGAATGGCAGCACTGGGACTAACTTTAAGCACTCTTCGTTTTCATGTTATTGATACCTTTGATATCAGATTGTCGGTGGGCAAGCGGTGCTTTACAGTACACTCTGTGACAAACAAAGCTACAATCTCTACCTGGAAGATCTTCTGGAATTAAAACTTGATTTCTCCTGATTCAATAGCCTTCTGATTAAGCCCTTAAGTTAAAGCTGAATTCAGTGAGCTACAGTTCATTACGTCTCAAAGCAGTACCTCGCAGTACCTCTTACATTACTGCCTCATAGAGGGAGAACCGTAAATTCTGGAATGAATCAGAAAATGGGAGGTCCTGCTTTTGAAGGAGTAGAGGGAGAAGGTTTGATATTTAACAATCAAAAGATAGACCTAGGCTTACAAAGTGCACATATCTTAAGGTATGGAAAGGTGTCGTGAGATACATCCTTCAGTCACTTCCAGAAAGAATGATGGGCAAGAGAGAGGCAAATATAACACAGATATTTTTTAAACAGTAACAGTGTGATGCTGTGAAAAAGAAGCAGTGCTAAAAATAGCAACTGAGTGAGTGGTAACATGGAAATAGTTCTGGAGTGTTTCAGAGTTGGTGTCCTCCGTGCTATTCAAGTATAAATGCCCGCGGTAGACTTCAGGCACAGTGGTTGTAGCAGAATGGTAACCACAGAAATCACGGATTAATTTCACCTTTGATTTTGTTCTGCTGGGATTTCTTAGACACGACAGACCCCGACATCTTGCTGCATTGGCCTGCTCTGTTTTGTTTTACTAATAGCATGCTGCCATACTGCCTCTCTACGGTTCTATCAAACTAACATCACTGTGCTTTCAGCAGTACCTATGATTAAGCAAAAGGCATACAATTTGTCCTTAAAAATGGTTACTTTAATGACATAAGCTATTGTTCAAAACAGCTGTGTTTTTCAATATCTGTAAAAATATCTTTTGTGTAACGTAGTGAAGATTTTAATGAAAATACACAGCAAAGTAGGGTCTGCATCTCCATCGTAAACTATTCTTCAAGAAAAAAAGCCGTCTTTAGTGAAATACAAATTGCAGAGTAGTTTGCCGCTCTGCAGTATGTCAAGTCAGCCCTGCCAGCCCAAACTTTCTTCGGTCTTGCATTTATTTATTTATTTTTATCTCGAGCTTCCGGCCTGACATCTGCTAAAATACTTCACTACTCCCACACGTGCATATTGTACTAGCACTCTTACACACTCAGAAGCGTTTATTAATAGAAGCTCTGAGAATTAAGCTGTTCTTTCATGTGGTAGCGATAAAGATTTCATTTAGTTGAACCTCAGTTCCTCAGTTCCTTAAGAAACTAAACTAGGTTCAGTACTTAGCTCACAGGAGAGTAACAAGTCAGTAGTTTAAGATTTCTTTTCATGTCTTTGTGACTGCAAATTAATTTTGAGACACTTGATTCTCTTTTGAGTAGCTCTGGTTTAAATGCACCTTCTATTTTAATGAAAGCTTGTTACTATGGTTCTATATTTTTGAATATAACTAAATTAAACTGGACTGTGTGAAAAGGCCTAGCTCAAAGAAAATACAGTGGAATTCCCAGGATAAAGACCTGTGCTACAGATGAAGCCTGAAATGGGTAAATACTCAGAGGTTTTTGAGGTTTTTTTTTTTGCTCAGTGTCATACTCCTGGAGATAAATTGCCTTGGTAAAAGGGTGGAAAAACTACAGCATATCCTAAATTATAGCAGGACGCTCTGCACTCCCCCAAACATTAGTTTTTAGAATAACTCTGAACAGTTGCTCTCCTAGCCAGAACCCTTCTGAGCTGGGTTTGCTGTCATTTGCACTTGTAAAAGGCTACTTTCAGCGAATATTTTATTGTTTCTCTTACATTACTCTTTGCTCTCGTTAAACCAAAAAGGGCAAATGTTAGCCTGTTCCTGCCCATCAGTGTTAGAAAAACTGTACTGTCTTGTCAACAGGAGGGGGAGCATGTGCTAATAGGAAGAGCAGATGCTGGTGCTCTGTATTTGGATTAGAGATCCTATTGATCCAAAGAGGATTTATAGTAGCTGTGAAAGTGAGGATTGTCAAGCAATGTCATTGTTCTGTTGTTAACCTTTCCCTCTTAAAGCCAAGGGTTGAAAGGTAGTAAGGTGTTACATCTAGGGAGATCTTTTGCCTTTTTTGGTGATTAATTAAGGACAAGTCTGTTTAACAGTCTTGTCTATGAAAACAGAAATTAATTGCTGCAGTAGATTTAGTGCCTTTATTACAGTAGGAGTTGGTGCACTCCTCAACTCAGAGACAGTAAAAAAGCAGTTCTCTTTGTTCCTTTATATGATTATTATTTCCTTACTGAATACTTAAGTGTGCCTATTAGTTCAGCGTAGCGAGCATTTACTTAGTGAACTGCAGATAAGATTCAATAGGACCATGATAAGGCTTTGTTAAAGAATTTGTCACTCTGCATTCTAAAATGATTTACAGTGGGGGAGGTTGGTTTGTGCTAGGATTTTAGGGAAAACTTACAGTACCAAACTGGGGGAGTATTTGAAAGGCTAAACCACAGTCCGGTCCTCTCAGGAGCACAACAGAGTATCAAGCCCTTTTTTCAGAATGGTACCTGCAGAGACAAGCTTCTTTCTGAATCACAGATTTAATTTTATTTCTATATCAGTGTGACTGAACTACTGGGTTAGTTATATACATTTGTTTTACATTCAGCTGTCTGCTAGATTTATACTAATGTGGTATGTTTCCCTTTCTCTCTTCAGCTTAATAACCAGTTTGTCTTTTGTTTTGATTTTTCAGTCCCGTCTTTTACCTTCACACCAACAGGTATATATTTGCACTTTTCCGCCCTTCTTTGTTACTTTAGCATGTGTTTGTGGTACTGTTTCTCTTTTCCTGACATAACCAGCCCAGCTGTTCTGAAGGGGTTTTAAGCAATTTCCTTAATGACAGGTATCACTATTTTGTTCTCTAAGTAGTATACATTTGAGTTGTAGCTGGCACTTGTTTTTCCCTTTGTGTGTACCATTTTGTAGCATACCTTGTGATGCAAGCTTACCATCTTGTAGCATGATCCCATCAGTTTGTACAACCTGGGCTCTCTTCTTGCATCGCAATGGAGGAGTGTGGCCTTCTGCATCTAGTGATGCAAAAGGTGCTTCTGATGGAGGGGGCATGGCTTAGCAGAGCCCAGATGCTGACTTGAAAAGGATTCAGTGGGATTATAGTTGCTGAAATACTTGCTTCTTTGCTTTCCTCTGAATCTGCATTAAACCATTCTCCTAGGAGTTGTCTGCTTGGGAAGATAGAGAAAATCAAAGTGTTAGAGCTGTTAGATTTCTTTGCTGGGTGCCTTAAACTGTATTTGTGCTATGAAATTTTAAAATAATCATCTTATTCTACATAAAGGTGCATTTCAAATTCAGGTTTAAAATAATCTTGTATATCTTTTTCCCTGGAAAGGTGCAAAATATAACATAACCCGAGCCCTAGCCCACCGAAGTCCGTGAGAGCCTTTCAGTTCTGTAGAGCTGACCTTCAGCCAATCCCACAGCCTGGCAGCTCAGCAGCTTTTCCCCTCCTGTAGATACGATTCAGTACCCGCCAGGATCCTGCATGCCTTACTTTTAGCTACAGCCTGAGTGAATAGACAGGTTGTTTCTTCCTCCTTTGTTCTAAATCCCTTATTTTCGCAAGCACTCTGTGAGACTCGCAGGACATGTATATCCAGACAGGGCAAAATCCACCTGCCCCCTCCTTTGCGGACTCACCTTTGCAGGGCGTATTAGCTCAAAAGTGGCACTGGGCTGATTTGGCCTCTGGGCAGCAGCTGAGTTACATCCTTCCACATTGGACCGCAGGTGAAGCAGCCTCATGTCTGTCTGTGTTCGTCCACATGGACCGAATCATAATGGGTTAGATTCTTATCCGCGTGCTTTTAATCACACGGAATGGTATCTTGTTTCAAAAGTCAGCCTATTGCGTTCAGGGGAGTTGGTTACTGATCGGCATGAATCGGTATGGTACTTAATGTTTCTGAAGTCCTTTGAGGTCCACGGTGGAGGCTAATTCAAACTATTATTATTTTGCTGTTACTTTAATTGGCTTAACAGAGGGTTTCCATTGCAAACACAATTGTAGCACGCTGCTGAAATTCCGCAGGCGCTGGTAGGTTAGCTAACATAGATTTTCTCAGTTGGATTCTTAACAGTAAAAGAAAATATAAGGCTCCATAAGATAAATCAGAGCTGCAAAATAAATAGCATTGAGATTTTTAAAGAAGAAATTGGGAAAATACACCAAGTATGTAAAACATTTAAAGGAAAAAAATATCAAGTCCTTTTTCAATCCAGGATCCCAGTCATTAGTTCCATTGACTCTAACTGGAACCAGACCCTCTTCTTTAGTATTACCTATAGTGAAAGACTTACCTGTAGCAATGCATCCGACATTTTAATCTTGTTATTGTAATCACTGCCAGCATTTATCTCTCTCTTGCAGACTCCCGGTTTGGAGTTCTTCTAAAGAGGAGAATTTGGCTGCTTTTTTTCTACACATTCCTAGTTGGAAAACGTAGAATGCAGAAGCATTTGCAGGGAGGCAATCTCCTTAACCCTTTTCAAACCCAGAGCAAACCAGCAAAATTTCTAGTGCTGATTCTACTGGGATGTTTGCATCCTAAAAGCTAACTTTTCAACCATGGTGTGGCTCAGCCATCCCGTGAAGGATATGCAAACCCTGCCAACAAAAGAAATGCATGTGGGCATCCACTTTGTTAATCTGTAATCTTCTGAAATGCTAGCAAAACTGTTCCTTCTAAATTACAAAGTATTCTTTCTGCCACACATGTTTTACCTAGATGTACACATTTAAATTTTTAGGTACAAGAGTATCATTAATAAATCCAACTGTAAAATGTGATCACGTGCAAAGCTTCTGTGGACTTTCAGAGTGCGCTGGTTCCATGAGTATAGCACAGTAACAGTCAGGAAAAGCATGTGTTTTTGCAGTAGGTTTAGCTGTAATGAGCTGTTGTTTACATTGGAAGTAAGGTCTGTTATAGAATCGTGATACCTCTTTAATCTTACCAAAATAATAAAGTAGAGCAAAGCTTTAACATCTAGCCATTCATGAAATAAATATATGACCTAAATTCTTCCACAGAGTAACTCCACTGAAGCCAGCAGAGTTATGTTAAGGATAAGTTCAAGCTGATGTATGGCTTCCTGCTTTCTTAAGCGATACATGTGTGTGCGAGTGTGTTTTTCAGAACAGAACTGAAATGTAAAACTTTGTTGGAGCTGAGACTAGCAGTTATCAAGCAACACAAGTATTATGTATAAACCAGCATTTGGGGGAATCGCTTGCAGAATGAGACTCAGAATTCATGTACAAACAATGCACGTTTATTGTCTGAGCTAAAATGAAACAAAGGCAAATTTAATACTGCTATTTAAGGAGTATTTTATTATTTTTAAATTATTTCCTTTTTTTATCTTTAATTATTTCAGTAACGTATCAGAGAGGAGGAGAGGCTGTAAGCAGTGGAGGCAGGTAATTATGTGCTTTATTTTTAAAACTATAAATCCTGTGTGGCTAAATTCAAGGATGCTAGGATTACATTTGTCCTTGTAAGGGATGGCAGAATAATCGCTTGCAACGATATGTTTTAATTTGTCATATTCATTTATACATTTTGGCCATATATTTTTCTGTTCAGAAGGATGGTATATGGTTTGCAATTTTAGGTTGATTTCCTCAGAATTGGGTTACAGTATTTTTACCTTTGTTAACCTGTAAAAACTGCATCTCAAAAAATGAGCAGCAGAGGGAGCACTTTAACTTCGAAAGAGCTGGTTTACCAGCTGATTAAGGGAGTAAAAGTAATTAAGTCGTGGCATTTATGAAGATTGAGAAATATAGCGGGTTCACATATACTGTGAAGAAAGAAAACGTTTACTGGAAAAAAACTGCTGAAGAAATAAATGGCTTATAAAGTGACTTTTTAAGAAAAAATTTGCTATGAATGCAGATCAGTTAAAGCATCGCTTACAAGAGATGGGCACTGAGGGAGAGGGAAACAGGTAGGTTTTAAAATTAAAGCCCCCCTCTTTGAGAACCTAGCCCATTCCAGACTGAGGATGGATTTAAGTAAAACATGCTTACTGGGTTCACGTTATTACTTAATGAATGGCAGTGGACCAAACAGTAATTTACATATCCTATGTAGAGGTGGACCTTTATTCACGAGACAAAGTAACAGTTTTAGCAGAAAGGCAGATGAAAGCAGTGTCACTTTGGTAGCACACGCTTTTTTTCTTCTAGGTCACATTCAAGCATGCCTTTTTATAAGCATTTAAAGATTTGGCATGACGCTGAAATAAACTGATATCTTAGAGAGCAGCTGGGCGATAAATTCCTATATCAATTCCTGTTTCACTAGTGGCATCTTATGATTCCTAATTTGCAAGACCATACAAAAATTGAGTAATGGTAAAGATTAGGCATAGAATTAAACATTCCCAGTGTTCTTGAATGCTGTGCAGCGGCAAGGCCACTCTGCTGTTGCTGCGGAACCTGGCACATTAGGAGCAATTGCCGATATCTATTCCCAGTGCTGTATGCTGCTGTGTTGTCATAGCCGTAAAACCATGGAAGAAAACCTCTAGAACAGTTACCATGTGATTTTTGAATGGACAAACCTGTAAATCACTGGGTTGCAGCCTTCACCCCAGGATAGGGAGAAAAGAAGAGAGAACAGAGATGAACCCTCTCCTTCCCTGACAAGGTTGTTCAAAAAGATACACAGTTAACATCCTTTGTGTTCTTTGTGCCACTGTGCTTTCTCACTCTTCCCATAGCACAGCCTAGACAAAAGCACGCTCACATACACTCAGAGGACAGAAATGAACCCAGAAGTGTCTACATCATATACAGTCATTTTGGTACTGCTAGAGAAGCAGCAACATTTTTTTTACTGTCCTAGTTTTAAGGATCAGTGCTACAAGCTGGCAGTGTAATTGATTCAAGGTACTAACATCGATGCCGCTATTGTTCATTTGCATATATAGCAAACGTGTGTGACGTTCTAGTGTATTTTTTAGAATATGAAACATACTTCTGCAATATAAAAACATAAATAAATGTTACTTTGACATATGAAACATTTACTCTGATCTCCAAACCTAACGTTTTCACTTCCTTATGTTATATTTGCAATGTTTTGGAGAGGTTTGGCATTTTTGTCAAGTGTGGTTGTGTGAGCCTTTTAAAGCATTCATTTTCAGAATTCAAAACATCACAGTGATGTATTTCAGCATAATCCCTACTTCTTTGATGCTGAAAAAATACCCATTTCTGTGTCAATCCCTTTTCTAGACAGGATTCAAGTAATGGTGATTGTGGGGAATTGACTCCAGCCAGCAGCTAGGCACCCACACAGCCACTTCTCAGTACACCCCAACCCCAGACCCAGTACAGTGATTCAGGGAATTTCCTGCAAAGGTTAAAGATCTCTGGAAATTATGATCTCTGATCATCGCCAGTCTACAGAGCTGTGGTGCAAACATCTCTTGCCTATAGTTCCACCTAAAGGGTTCCAATGAGTAGAGTTTTTGTCCAGTTATATACTCACCCTACATTTCTTACATCAGAGCAGTTGTGAATGCAAAGTAGGTTTTAGAAGCAAAGGACCTTTCACTGCCTATCCAGAGTGGTGGGGAAAAAGCAAGGTATTTCAAATCAGCTGGCCTGCTCACAGGACTACATAGCTGTACATTTATTTCAGATTTACAAAAGATCCTTGCTTAGTGCATATGTATTGGCTGGTTTGTTAGCCTGACAGTAAGTCAAGCCTCATCACCTCCTGTGTTAAATTGTCAGATGACATATGCAGTACAGAAATATATATACACATATATGTATAGATCTTTTAAATGTTATTCTAAGACTATGACTTAAGCCTGCAGCACTGGCAGACTATATCCCCCATAACTAACTGCATGCAGTTAGTATTCTCAACTTGCAGTTTAAGAGGTTTAGCATATTTTATTTTTGAAGAGCATCACATTTAATATTACAGAGACTAGTTTCTGCACTATTTCAAATGAGAAGTGGCTTGTTAAATCCTGTGATATAAGAGATTGTTCCTTTTTATTTATATATATGTATATATATAAGACAGTGGCTCAAGTTATCTATTTTTAAAAGCACCTTAGTTGACAGAGACAAATTTAAGTAGTTAGGGGATGCTACTTATATGGGACTTTATAATATGCCCTTGCATTTTTAGTGTGAGAACTGAAGAGGCACCAAAGATACTACAAAACATTCATCAGAGCGTCTTTCGCTAGAAAAATTCAGCAACTCGGAAACCAAGGAATGCTATTTCTTTCTGCTGATGGCAGAAATACACTTTATTCCAAATGCAGCCAATATGCAGCATTGGTATCTGGGTGTTTTTAAAGGTGTTGAGTATTCTCAGTTGCTTTAAACTTGCTTAGAAGCTGCTGCTGTTCCACACACATAAAGATGAAGTGAGTGTCTTGCTCATTCACTGGGATGTAGCACACACTCAGTGTGCTTAGTGAGAACCAAGTACTCCCAAGCGACAGAGGCTTCTGTAATCTGCTGTAGTGCTATTTGATGGTGAGGAGAACTTGGCTTCATGCATCACCAAGAATTTGGGTTTATTCACATCCAAACTCAGCTCTTATTTCCACATATCCGTCTGGCTTCCATGTGTGAATTTTCTGTTTGACTTGCCAATTTCCCCTTTTTTACCTTGCTGTCTTTAAGACAGGGACAAGTGGCAGAAAAAAAATAAAAATACAACCTTTCCACAAACAAAACAAAACACCCTAAAGTGACAGGTAAAGGTTGCACGCCAACGTATATGTGTAGTTCAGCAAACTGAACTGATGCTATCTTTGGCTGTTCAATTCAGGATGTCTTAGCAAGGAGCAGATTATATAGGAGACTAGAAACCATTAAATAATTGGATCAAGCTGTATTTTCGAATGCCCAAGCCTTTAATTATGTGATAATATTTTGTAATACATAACCTTTTGGGAAGAAAATAATTGCATTGTGAAAATGCTTTTGTTTAATTTTTGAAATGACCAAGCTTTGTTTTTAAAGGCCAGGACTCCTAAACATCACTGAACCAGCCACTCAGCCATGGCTAGCAGATACTTGGCCTAACACAGGGAACAATCACAACGACTGCACCATCAACTGCTGCACCTCTGGCAACGGCAACAGTGATAGCAACCTTACGACGTACAGTCGACCAGGTTAGATATGTTTCTACCTTGCTAAGAAATCTTCTTTACAGGGTATATACTTCTAATACCTCAGAGAAAGTACAGGTTTGTTTGGGGGGTTTATTTTCAATGCATTTAATCTTAATAGAGTTTCTCTTCTATGTCATGTTTATGCTTTTGGTCCCTTTTTGGATTCCTTTGCAGATAAGGCCATTTTTAAGTTGTTCTCTACATCCTGTTGCTTGGACGGAGAAGGAAAAGTACAAAAATTACACTAGTGACATTTTCATCCTGGTTTGGTTGTGATTGTAAGGAAGAAATAAAACATTGCTACAGTACTTGCAAGTCAGTCAGCTTTGGCACCTTCAAAACCGCCCTTGGGGTGCCATACAAAATCAGATAGCTAGTTTTCTGTCTGGGGCATGTGGGTGAAAAGTGAACTTCACCCTCTAAAAGCAATTACGCAATGTTAGGGTGAGCGGTAGTTCCCGGGACCTTGGGCAGGACGCAGAGTGCTCTTGAAGAAAACCTTTTGAGTTCCATGGGAAGACAGGTGGGGAAGCGCTAATTGTTGCACAGTTTGTTTTGAAAGGACCTTAGGTTCTTTTTGTTTTAACCCATTTTGTGTTACTGGTAAGGAATGAAAATGAGTCTTTTCCACTGCCAGCATCTCTAGCTGACTTTTGCTGGTAGCGTTTCCCAGCACTTAGGAGGTGGGGGTATAATTACCTGTAGTGGAGTTGCGTAAGTGCAAAACAGCATTACCTCCTGTAATTAATGCGAAACCAGTCATAACGTGATGGTGGAAATTCATCTCCCACATAGGCTGTCTGACAGTGACCAGTTACAGGTGCTTCAGAGGAATGTGAGAGAATTTAACATTGGAGACTTCCTGCCGGAGGATGTCGCATCCACAATTACCTATGTAAAAAGATTTCTGATACAGGGATACTCTATTGTGGCAAGCAGAGACATACCAAATTCTAGTAACTGAAACATAACAAATTCAGAAAAGGAAGAGAATGCACATTTTTGAGGATTGTGAACTATTATAACATCTTGTCATGAGCTGCACTGGCAGTTTAATTGTTATTGGTTGTATTGCAAAGTTATTCCTTCCTTTTAAGTAGAGCTTATGAGCTTGAGGCTCAAACGGGATGCTCACAGTTGTCTCTTCTGTTCTGGAAAATCTGACAAATGTTCTTAATTATGTCATCCTGGGCTTGGCTTATGCTCTGAAGCAGCAGAGTTGGATATCCCCTCTGTAGCTGTGAATATGCTAAGTAACTGTGCATTTCTAATTTCTTTTAAGTATAGTGCTGTCTTCCAAGTCTACAGACTGGGAATGGGTTGTTCTAAAAGTAGCTGCTATAAAAAATTCTAACAGAATAAATCTTCTGTTATATAGGTAGACCAGTTTTAAGTACTTTGTGTGAGGAATTCTAACGCGTCTGTGTAAAAAGAATGTACCTACTGCATATACCATATCGATTATTATGCCCTACACACAAATTGGATGTAGCTGAAAATGGAAAGAGGTGAAAATATATAAGTGACTCTGCAAGGATATTATAGCAAAGCATGAGGTATTGGGAATGACGACTATGCTACGTATATAATTGCTCTCTACAATACAATGGTCTTGAAAAAGAGAAAAGACTAGCATGGTTTCAGCAGGTGAGAGAAAAAGCAGAAATTAAAACATTTAAAAAATAGAAATCAAGAAGTTGAAGACTATGAAGCAATAACTAACAGCTCACATAAGAAAGAAAAAAACCAGTAAAACCTTCAAATAAAACAAGCCGGGGGGGTGGGGGGAGGGATGTGGTGTGAAATGTGCAATGATAGGTTGTATGTGGCGTGCTCTGATACTGTTCCTTAATCACTGAAAATATGGACCGGTGGTTTTCTTCCTCAAGTACTATTTTATTTCTCTTTTTCAGGATATATTTCTCAAAAAAGATGTATATATTAGGGCATACTCTTGAAATTCAGCATCTTCTATATTTAGTGGTTATTTCATTTAGTATAATGGTCAAATCCTGAATTTGGTACGTAGTTTTACTTGGCACCCTCTCCAGTAAATTAATTGTGGCCACAGGTTTTGAATGAAACTCATTAGTATAAATACCACATCTTTTAAAAGAGAAAAACTATATTCCTGGTGATTGTGATGTAATTATTGATGCATTAATCAGCTGGCAAATGAGAATCTTTGCTTAATGATTATTGAATGCTGATTTCACTAAGCCTTCTAACTGCTGACCCACAGACTGTGTTACTCCATTCAGTATTCTTCCAGTTGACTGGATACGGGGAGGAAAAAAAGTGTGTGGAGCTGCAGAGACAAGAGAACGCGGAAAGGCTGGCAGACAGGTTCACAAAGCAGTGGCCAGAGCATCCGTACATATCTAATTCACTCTGTGCAATAAGTAGTGATCTCACGATGCAGTGTCTATTAGAAGAATGAGTGTGTGCTGTGTACATGATATATATTTAGCTTACAAGTCAATGGTATTACTGTTGTATTACTTCTTTTGCACTATCCAAAGCAACTAAAAAGTCATAAAAATTCCAGATTGCTTTCCTGTCTTTTTGTTTCAAACTAAAGTATAAGATTGTACAAGGATTCTGTGATCAAATAAAGACTTCCTTTTGGGTACTGTTACCTTTCACATTGTACTGTTTCTCTTTAATTCTGTTGTGTGTGATCATTTTTCAGTCTGTTTTATAAAAATGTGTAGTATCTCTCTTTCTTATCACAAGCACAAGAAAGTCTAAATGCTTTTGAGATGAAATGAGATTGACTGTCATGTTTAGTTATTCCCACTATTAAGTTTTGGGTTTTTTTTCTTTTCCATGCAAATTATTTTCCTTTTGAGGCAAAAAATCACAGTTGTCGATTAGATATCTATACTGCTTTGAGAATAATGTTTAAAAATGTGAATGTTTATACGGCCACTGTAGAAAAAGCCCAGCAAGGTAAGTCATTGTAGATACAATTGAGAAGGTTTGAATTTACAGTGAAGCAAAGCAGTGAACCCTGCTTTTGAAGCAGTAGCTCGTAAGGTAAATAATGCTCTGTAAATCATTTAGCTAGCTGCAGTATTTCTGCTTCATGGATACAAGCTATATAGTGATGCACTAAACATTTTTTAAAGGGAATTTCATTGGAAGTATAGTGTAAGCGAACAGAATGACCTTTTCCTTTTTTCTTTCCTCTGTGGTTAGCCGATTGTATAGCAAATTACAACAATCAGCTGGACAACAAGCAAACAAACCTGATGTTGCCTGAGTCAACTGTATATGGTGACGTGGACCTAAGCAACAAAATCAATGAGATGAAAACCTTCAATAGTCCAAATCTAAAGGACGGAAGATTTGTCAGCCAGCCTGGGCAGCCCACTCCTTATGCCACCACGCAACTCATCCAGTCAAATATCAGCAATAATGTTAACAATGGCAGCGGGGATACGAATGAGAAACACTGGAAACCCTCTGTTCAGCAAAAGCAAGAGGTTGCACCCATACAGTACAACATTATGGAGCAAAACAAATTAAACAAAGGTGAAGAGCTTTTAGCTTGTTTCTCCTCTTTAGGCATCAGAGGAGTTTTGACCTTCTGTTGCTGGGAGTCTAAAGCTTTCAGGTTCAGCAATTACAGACTTCTGTGGTGCTTTTAGACTTCTCCCTGTTTAGATTTAGAAATCCACAGTTAGCAGTGTCAGAAAGTTAATTAGCACCACAATAACCTCCAGATATTGAATTTATTATAAAAAATAACAAGCTGTATCTTTAGAAAAGACTTAAATAAAATACATTTCCTATGGATTTGAGATTAATTTAAATTTAATAGTAGTTAAGGGATTAGTTAGGACAGAGGCCAGATATTTTATTCATAAGCCAGATGCACGCTAGTCACATTATACTCTACCTTAAATTTTAAATAGGTCAACCCACTCTTCTCACTTGTAGATGGAGACTAATTAAATCTACATGTTCATGTAAACGAATGAAATTTTGCATATCAAACTCTGTAAAATTGTATTGTGTTGTACACTGGGGACACAAATGGAGCGATCCAATTCATTTTAGGCTTGTTCCTAGCAAGCTTTCGATTCACATGTTGAGAGGCAATGGTGCCACACACAGTTTTGGAAACTAAATTCCTTTATTACCTGACTGAAGTCTGTGGATCCAGAAGCTAAAAGTAAATTTATTTCAGTGTTAACGGGAAACATCAGAATGTACTTCCGTGGCCTTGAGGGCATGTTTCTTTAATATAATGCGTGGGAGTTGAAAGAAATAGGTATGTCATTTCTTGCTAGTCCTCCAGGCTACCATGCAACCTCTTTTAATAACCTGATTTGCAAAACAGTATCCCTAGGAACTGGACCCATTCTAACCTGGAACTTTTTGCATGGATTGTTGTAACTTGGGTGATGGCATAGTGATAAGTTATCCAGTAAAAAGATACGTTTCATTACAGGAATGTTGATTTCTCTACTGGACCCATCTACTCACAGAGGAGTTCAAGGGGCAATATAAAATGTGACACCTTCCCTTGACATAAATATGTCAAAAGAAAAGTCAGTTATTGTGACTCTTTACTAGAGGGTGAAAGCTGTAATTTTTTTGTAATTATGTTTTCTTTCATGAGCTGTGTATTACATATCTGTTTGGGAATTAAAACATGTTTGGTTTTTATGCACTGGAAGATACTGCACCTTTCAAACTGTATATATTACAGCTGCATATTCTCTAGCATATTGCAGTGTGGAAAGGCCCCCTTAAAGCATTGTCTGCTGACAGTCATATATACATATTTCAGAGTGTCGATTTATTGTTTATCCTCTGTGTAAACATATGCGGTATGTAGGGCTTCAGCATGGTCTCTGGAATGTAGCTAGGCTGAGAAACTATTACAGAATACACTCTGGTGTGGAATTTATCATTTTGCTCTTTTTCCCATGCTTACATTATCACGAATGTTTCTGCAGCAGATGGGGACTGGATTCTTAGTTTTGTTTATTTTTGTGTTGATTTGCTGGTTTATGAGTCAATATTCTGATCTTGGTTTTCTCATTTCCTAAGTCAAAACCATCTTGCTGATGATTATACCTATAGCTTTTGTGATGGGAAATAACTATTTTGATGAGTTACATGCTGTGCTCCATTGTCACTACTTTATGTCCAGTGGTTCTGTTTATGACACAGTTTTATTTGCCGTATGAAGAGTAACTCAGCTCCTTTCTGTTCTCTGCAAATTATAATTCCTTTTTGGCAAGAGAGTACTGTTTTGTCAGATGAGAATTTTGCTTCTGATAAAGTTTTACAGATCTGGTTGCCAAATCTAATTTAAAAGTAGCATATGTATATCAAGTGCTTTGGAACTCCGCAAAAGAAGTTATGGCAAAAAAAGGCCCAGCCTGTAGCTAGAACCTGCATGACCCAATGTAAATAGAAATCTTCTTGTAGCCAGCAGGCATTGAACAAAGACCTCTTCTGTTGTAAACCAAATGCAGTGGAGCTGCATTGTTGCTTCCAGCAGATCATTCAACCCTTGTAAAACAGGGCTGACGCCTGTGTGGGTTTGTCACCTTTGAAATACAAAAAGTAGCTATCACAGTCCAGTGGCTGCCCTGCATGCATAAATTAAGCAGAGACCATGGAAAATCAATCAAGGTGACAGTCTGTTCATATGCAAAATTCTCACACAGGTGATATATGAATCCACTGAGACTTAATGGTTGCAGAGTCATTACAGCAGCCCTGTGCATAGGACTTAATTTTACTCCATTTTTGCTGTGGAGCTACCAAGTTCCAATGATTTTCCTTAAACTTAGAATTAGAGACAAGATAAAAATACAACATGATTGTAGGACGATTTTCCCTTAAAAAAAATAGTTTGTTTCTTCTCTTTGTTTTCGGGAGACACTGCTCTATGAAGCAAGTCTATAAAAGTAGATGTGTTTCGGAAGGGTAGCATTAACCATACTGTTCAACTTGCAGATTACCGGGTGAATGACAACATTGCTCCAACTATTCCGTACAACCAGTCATACGACCAGAATACAGGTGGATCCTACAACAGCTCGGACAGAGGCAGTAGTACATCTGGTGAGTATCCACAGTGTTTACCAAACCTTAGGGTGTTTTTGTGTTTGGATGCTCTAGCCATAGTGAACACTAGTTACTGGTCTTGCAGAAGGGATGGTGGGGAGGAAACCACTGACAGTAATAAGGCACAGGGATGTTAAACAGCATAAGAACTGGCCCAATAGGTGCCTACATTTCTGTTGCATCCTCATGATTGCTTAGTGCTATCTAAATGTCAATGAAGTAATTGATTGTCTAAAATTGTGAGTCATGAAATCAAATAGAAGTTGGATTTCCTAATATTAATGCTCTACTGGTTAATACGATTAAGCCAGGATGAGCGAGTGGGTGAGGCCATCTACCTGCAGAGAGCAGCAGCCTCACATTCACAAACCCTGGTCCTCATGGGGGATGTCATTCACCCCGATATCTGTTGGAGGGACAACAGAGCAGGGCCCAAGCAAGCCAGAAGGTTCCCGGAATGTGTCGATGACAACTTCCTTCTCCAGGTGATAAGAGGAACCGACAAGGAGGGGACCTTGTCCTCACCAATAGGGAGGAGCTGGTGGGGAATGTGAAGCTCAAGGGCAGCCTCGGCTGCAGTGACCATGAAATGATGGAGTTTGGAATCCTTACAGAGGCGAGGAGGGGGCGCAGAAAAGTTG